CTACAGTTGAAATAGTATCACATTTTGAAAATATGAACTAATTGGTCCAATATTTCTTGAAGAACACATTAGTAAATTGGTTCATAAGCTTAATTATTCTTTTCATTTAAAGTCTTTCAACATAAATAGATTCTGGGCCAAGATGCAAATGGCAGTTTTTCATATTGAACAAGGTATAGTGACATTCATTTTGATATCTGTCCATCAACTTATTAATTCTGCCTGATGTAGTGCTATGGTTTGTAAATGTTTCAGAATTTTAGGTAGAAACCCAGGTAATGTAGCAAATAAATATTTTAAATTAAATTAATTAAAATTAATTTTGAGTTAAAGTTAAAATGCCTGTAACACTTCTAAGCAAAATTTTAACATGTGATTATATTGTTTTGAAAAAATTGTTATTAATTTGGGTAAATATTTTCTTATAAAGTCTTAATATTGATACTGACCTCTGGGGCAAATGTAAGAAACAACATGAAGAAATATAGAATAATTATTTCCACATCATTTTCCTACAAATATGTGACTAGAAATAGCAGCTTTGGAACAAGTGGGACCAAAATCTATAACTGTCAAATAAGCACATTGTATTAAGTCAAAGTAATACATATATAACTGTTTTAAGTTAGAATAATACTTAGCATCTTTTAGAGTTTTCAGTCTCAGGAGATAGATGTGTTAAGTCTTGCAGTATTTTTTTGTATGTTTTTTCCATGTACCACTAGAGGCCACACAGCTCCAAAAATAAATGAATGATACATGGACTGCTAATCAAAGCATAAAAGGAAATAGAAAGTGAAGTGGAAGGATTACCACTGTCTACATAGCATGATTTTATATTCAGAGATTTTTCCTAGAAGAGTTTAGATGACCCTTGTGAAGCCATTATCACTTGTGCACTTTTTACTTCCTTCTCTAACTGCAGCATATTCTAATGTTGCACACCCCTTACACACACACAGCATATATACATAAGTGCCCACATCACACAGGATCTTGAAAGAAATATACTTCTGAACCTTCTAAATTATCTACTAGGAAATTGAATTTTAAAAAACGTACTGTATTATATAGAGTGCTAAATATTTCCTTGCTTTCCTTTTATATTTATTTTTATATTAGGATAAAGAGAGACTAAATAACAGTTTACATTTGTAACAAACACATGACCATTCTCTGTGTCAAACTTTACAGTTATGCCACAAACGTATTTTTATAATAATTAGGTAAAGACCCACGGAGACGAGCTGCCTTCTTTCTCCAAGAGCACAGGTCCTCCCAGATGATCTGAGAATAGTGTGGGGATAATGTTTCATTGCCAGTAAACAGACCAGTCTTCTGGACCTCTTCTTACATCCTAACTGAAATTAGATGTAGCATTTTC